TGTGACAAAATCCGATTGCAAATTCACTCAATTTGCATTTTGCAATAAAATTTACGAGGCATTCTAGCATTTTACTTAACGTTGCGCCGGAATGGCTATATACTTGTCTCGTGACTTATATATATCTTGTGACGTATAAATTGGATTATTCCCAGATAACTTTGTAAAATTATTGCCACCTGGATAACTCAAGAAGGTGAGAAGAAATTATCGTATTTAGTCTTAATTTTTGTCATGTTGAAATGAAGTCTAATCACCTGCTGAAGTAACACCCGCTGAGAAACGTTTGCGCAAAATTACTTTCATATCTCTTTGATATCGAAAACTAAATCTCGGTGTCATTTTTACGTTGACATCACCATATTTTTGGTGCGTCGCGGTAGGCTGTTGCGGTATTTGAAAAAAAAACGAAAACCGATACCGGAAAAAATACCGATAATACCGATATATCGATATTTTTTCGCGATTGTATTTTGCTTTATTTTATGCAAAATTTGCTTAATATTATGCCAAAGTTTCTGTTTTCAAATGATGCCAAACAGCGACGATATGACTCTTCGGGTTCGTGATATTTTCAATAAAGTGTGAGGCCACTGGCCAGTGATCAATAGCCTGTGAAATTCCGCTTTAGGGATTGAAAATGCATATTACTTATTAGCATTGATTACCGCACTGGATGAATTGTGCATGTGTGATATTTTTGACCAGAAAATTGTTTCAAAACATTTTATTCAATTGCGAATTCGAAACAAAGAACGTCCTATCTCAACAGATAAACAATGGTTATTATGTCCAATGAGGTTAGTTTTTGTTTTTCTAAAAGTTCATTTTTTGACAAGCGATATAAATGACATATTACACCTTGCAACGCCAACGTATAAATAAACAAACACGTTTTAAATCTCGCTCTAACCTTAATTGACCACTTGCGTAATAGCGATATGCCCGCTAAGCATGACGGTAGGAGGCTGTAGCTTGCTTTCGAACGAAATGGCTGTCGCATGAGTGAGCGATTTCGTTCGGGAGGAAACAACGACGGATTTTTTACTCTATTCGGCTTCGATCAATAGCAA